AAAATCAATATTTTCCCCTCAAAATCAAAATTCAAAGTGAGGAGGGTTTGAGAGAAAATGAGAAATGAAGAAAGGAAAAATTTACGGGAAGTTGCAGAGTGAATGTCTTTTTAAAAGTTAAAATCTAATTTTTGAGATATATTATTTTTTTTTTATTCCAGAAAATTTTTAGAAAATCACAAATAATCTAACAAACATAAAACTCTATAGTCACTTTCCCCAATTCTTAATAATTTAATAATTAAAATTTTGACAAAAATTTTAGAGGTATTAAAATTAGGATGTTACAATCCACTAGGGATTGATTGCCTTCCCGGGGATCTAATTTTGGTTTGCCCCCTGAAGTTTTGACTCCTTGTTAGGTACTGGTGTGAGTTGGTTTTTCGATGCTCTTATTTCATTGGGGAATGGGCATTCTGTTTACCTAAAAGTTAGGATTTTAATTTCGCCTTTTTCTGCGATTTATCTCTTTTTTATCGCGATTTTGAAATTTGGTTTTTTTATGGAGATAATGTGTGTGCCTTTTTACTATTTAGTTTCTCTTATACACGCAGGGTTTTTCCTTCTTTTGGGGGTGGTCCGCTAGGGATGAAGTTTTTTTGTGATCCAGCAAAGAATTAGTCGACTTCCTGGGGGATTCGATTTTTCTTTTCTGGGGATGGAGTCTTGGCTCTTTGATTGATGTTAATGTGAGCTAAAGTTGTGAAACTCTTATTCTACTGAGGGATGAGAATTTCTGATTCATTCTTTTTGTAGACTTTTCTGGGGAGATCCACTTGGGGATTTTTATTCGGCCTTCTCTGTTGTGCCCCTTTCTTTTGGATATCCGCTGGGGATGCAAGGGTTTTCTGTTAGGATCGAGCGCTTACCACTAGGCCAAAAGCTATAGACATTAGTCAGAGCGCAACTCTTTTTACTTTAACAGCCCAAGCGCCACGATTCAATTGTGACTCGGCCCACTCGACTTTCGTCACGGGACAATTGATGCTACTCGCAACAATCTCCCCTCGGCAATTGTCCTACAAGGTATCCCACTCTTGGATTGTGACTTTGCCACGGCAATGTGCAACTGACAATCTCTCACATTGCCCACGGATCGAACTCGTGACCTGGCTCGATAGCATTGTGGCTCAGCAGCTACATAGCAATTGCCAATACGTCGACTGCCACGCTTCGGACAATGTCACTGACAATCTGCAAGTCCAAGATAATGAGCTTGACGCTCTACGACTAATGGCTACATAGCATTTACTGGCCTAGCATGGTAGTCAGCGACTTCTGACTCCTAGACAATTGACTGTATCGACTGAGCCAAGGTCACGAGGTTCGATGTCCACTGAGTGCGGCAATGCTAGCTTGCAGGGGAAGATTGTCCTAGCGATGGTATCGAGCTAGGTCACGATTCGTCCTGGTGGCAAGTGAGGCAGTGCCAGGCGTGGGCCAAGTCACAATCCAAGAGTGGGATACCTTGTAGGACAATTGCTGAGGGGAGATTGTTGCAGGTAGCATCAATTGTCCTGTGACGAAGGTCAGGTGGGCCGAGTCACAATTGAATCGTGGCGCTTGGGCTGTTAAAGTAAAAAGAGTTGCGCTCTGACTAATGGCTATAGCTTTTGGCCTAGTGGTAAGCGCTCGATCCTAACATTTTCTTCTCTCTTTTTTTCTCTTTTTGTTGAGCCCTTGATGGTATGGATATTTGACTCTTTTGACTGTTGATGATGATGAGCTCTTGAAGCCTTTATTCTCCATTGGGGAGTGTGGAGGAGACTTTGGGTGAGTGTGCTCGATGACTCATGTAGTGGCGATGCTGAGTCGTCAGGTAATATTTACGCTGCCTCTGGAGTAGACAAGAATTCGCTTGGGGATAACTAAGCCTTTTCGTCGACTTTTCTTTTATGATGTCTGATTAGTGTGCCCTCTTTATTGGGTAGAGGAATGATGGTTGGAGTTTTGGCTTCTAGAAGCTTCTTATTTCTTCTAAGCTATTTGATTATGACAACTCGCTCTTCTTTCTTGAGGGAGAACAATGTTTGGGGACTTCTTATTTGTGCCTTTTTTTTCTGTTTAGGGTTTAGGGTTTCTAAAAGGGTATATTTGCAAATCCTAAAAAGTATCTTCTACAAACCTAACATGAAAACAAGGAAAAGACAAATGAAATGTTGGACTTCCTATGGTGATTCTTGACTGAGATTAAGGAGGAGATCACATTTGTCTCATTCACCACCATAAATCATCTTTCTCTTTATGTTTTTGCTTTATGCTTTATGCTTTCCACCTCATGCACATGTGGTCCAATCCTAGCTTGCCATGTGGAGAGTCATAATCATCCTCTTAATTCGTGCTTAACCTACAAGACACACAAATGCAACTAGATTAGCAATGTTGACTTGGGTCAAGTCAACTCTAGTCAAAAAGTCAACCCAAGTCAAGGTTAACAAGTCAACTAAAATTAACTCTACTCAATTCAACTTAAGAAATTCAAATTAAGCTAATGGAAAATAAAGATAGGGTAAAACTAGAAGAATTTTCCCTTGTCATGCCTTCGTCAATATCTTATATGCAATTATGTGTAAATTTTTTTTTCTAAATCCCATAAATTTTGGTAGAGAAATCATTAGGTTGGACGGGACGAGTTTTGCCTCCCGACCTGCCTTCAACTTTTTTAATCGTCTCCATCCTTAATCTCTGTCGAGTTAGCAATTAAGTCTTCATCTCCGTTTTCATTGGGTTTCGGGTTTCTTCGCTTCATCCTATCTTTGATCTATATTATTTTAAAAAAATAAGTATACTTATAATAAATTGATTTTAATATTTTTATAATTTTTTATAATAAATAAATATTTATAATTATTATAAATTAAATATTTTTTATTTATTGTATTTATATTAAAATTGTTAATAAAATATTAATGACAGAACGTTTCCAAGAGGGGGGTGAATTGGGTTTTTAAAAAACTTTTGAATTTCTAATCAATTATTTAAAGAACTTTTCTGGATAATCAATTATGAAAGAATTATCATAGTTTATAGAAAAACAAGTATACCAAGATAGAGAGAAAAAGAAAAGACACACAAATTTATACTGGTTCGATTCTTCTTGAATTTACATCCAGTTTTAACCAGGCAACCTTAGCCTGAAGTTTTTCACTTAATAGCAGATTTATAATCTAATTAACTGATCTTGATTTTACACCACTCTATAATCAAGACCACAGTTCTTGAAAATATTTTACCTCACAATTTTCAAGTTAAGCGAGATGTAGTTAGTTTCACATACATCAAAACTTAAATACAAGATACAAAAAAAGGAGATGAAACGAATTCACCTTGAATTTACATAATTATGCACCTATAGCCAAACAACCTTTCTTTGAAATTGTTCTTCAAAATCTTTTGCAAAATTATCCTTTTTCCTTGATATCCAAAACGTTCTTTCTAATTGTTTCTGTTTGTATTTAAAAATTGATATTGATTAAAGAAAGTTTGCATCCTTTTATAAAAAGAAAACTATTATAATTGTCATAGATAATCGATTAGTAGATTTATCTAATTGATTATTTGAGTGCAGTGGTAGTTTGAAAATAGTCAGATAATCGATTAGGTGTTTAAATAATTGATTATTAGTGCGTTGTGTTAAAACAAATTTTTTGACAAATAATCGATTAAGTAACCACATAATCGATTATTAGCGCATCTTATGAAAACTGAATTTTAAGTCATATAATCGATTAACTTTTTATCTAATAAATTAGTAGCGCATTATGTTAAAACAATTTTTTTGGCAAATAATCGATTAGGTGACTACATAATCGATTATTAATGTGCGTTTTATGAAAACTTAATTTTAAGTCATATAATCGATTATTCTTTTATCTAATCGATTATTAGCACATTGTTTTAACATATTTGATTATTCAAAGTATGACTTGCTTAGCTTTATATAAACTAACTATCATAATTACCTTGACATCATTAAAAAAGATATTTCCTAGTTTATCTTCTTTCTTCATCAACAAAAATATATATGTAAAATAAATATTTAATTTATTTTTTATACAGATATAAAATATTTATATTATTATTATTATTATGTATCGAAATATTTGATAATATATATAAGTTAATTTTTTTAAGTTATTATTTAAAAATATAAATATTTAATTTATAAAAAATATTTAATAATTTAATTCTTATTTAACCAATTCAAAATAATAAAAATTTAAATTATCAATTTTTTTAATTATTTAAAATATAATTTTTTTATTATGATAAAATATAATATATGATAAATAAGAATAATAAGATAAAAAATATAATATAATAAAATTTAATAAAGATAAATTATAAACAGAATAAAATTAATTACTACTAAAATTTATATAAAATATTTAAAAAAATAAAAATTAATTTCATATTTATCAAATTAATTAAAAAATTTTAAAAATTGATTATAAAAATTAAGAAAATGTGAAAAAATAAAAAATAAAAAATAATAATAATATAATGAACTAATTAATATAAAAAATTAAAAAAATAAAAGAATTACAAATTAAATAAAAAATAAATATACACGATGAATTATAAAAAACTAATCTTGTATATAATAAAAATTTTAAAAATTAAATTTAAATATAAAATAAGTGGAAAACAACATGATACTAATATACGGATTGCCTATCACCGTCTTTTAAAACGGGATTTAATTTTTTTATTCAAACTCAAAACAGAATTGTATCAATCCAATCCACCTGTACGAATTTAATTTTCATCCATCAAATTAGGTACAATAACAGTGAAGGGTCACGGTGTTGACTTGTAAAAAGACTACATTAAAAACAATTGATATTGTGATTTCTAATTTGTTGATAACATGGTTTTATTTTATTTATAATTCATCACGTAGAAGTCAACATTCTATTATGTATCAAAATAAAAATACTACATCTAAAATCAATTTAAATTTACTGTTAGGATAAAACTAGGTGGTGGGTAGTTGATTGATGAACGAGAAACAGGGACTATCGTGGAGCGCATCACTGTTCTGTGAACTGAGGACAATGTCCACTGAATCGCCAAGTTCTGTTCGTAAAGGTTCCATTTTATTTCCTCAATCAATCAATCAATCTTTTCTCTTCCTTTTTCTGATTTGGGTTTTTCTCTCTGTTGCAGTGGTTGTTCATCTCAGAGCCACCGGTGATGCTCCTATTCTCAAACAATCCAAGTTTAAGGTATTTTACTTTCCACCTTCCTCTTTAATGGGTATCTTTTATTTCTCCAAATTCCTCATCAAAATTGTTAATTGAACCCTCTTTGCATGCTTTCCCCCTTTTTTTTTTGAAAAAAAATGGTTATGCCAGTTATGCTTTCTTTGTTATAAATTCAAGTTTGTGGACGAAGATGGTTCTTAAATCTGAATTGATGGAGGAGATAATCTTGTGCCTGGATTTAGTATGGGTCTCAATGACGTGGCAATGCGAATTTTCATAGTTGGTTAGGTTAAACCAAATTAATCTTTACATGTTAAATTGTAGACAGGCCCTTCTATTTGTGCCTTCGTAAATTTACCAGGACAGAGATGAAGATATGCTGGATAAGTAAATAATGTAGAACTAACTGAAAAATTCAGTGTGGTTAAGGTGAACTGATTACCGGGATAAATCTTATTTATTTTTGTTCTGAGCGTAAGAGTAGTAACTGAATGACGTTATGATTTGGTTTAATTTGAAGATCCCAATTTGTGGTTCTTTTGAGCTTGAGAGGCTTTCAATACCATTTTTTAGGACTGTAGATGATGATTATTCAGTTCAGTGAAGTGAATTGAGACTATTCATAAAACTACTTATTGATTACCTAAAATTAGATGGGTAGAGTTGTGTTCCTGGATCTTGGTTAGCACTTGCTGGAATTGGTTTGCTATGGTGATACAAGGTTTGTTGTCTTAGTTCACAGTAGATGGTTAAGATGTAAACTCGTCTAAGGAAGCATGATAATCATTGTGAGGAAAATACTAGATGTAACTTACTTTGAAGTGTACAAAATAATGTTCTTGTTTCACATTTCTGCGTCTCCATTGTTGTATATAAATATTTTTTACTTGTTCTTTTTCTGCCTCTATTCCTTTCAAATGTATTCTGTTCTTGTTCCCTGTACCCTCTGCATTACGAGTGATATGAAATATTAATCTGGGGAACTATCTCAAATACAAGCTAGCCATTGATGAATTTTTCCCTTTCAGAATTTCACTATATATGCAGTCAGTAATATGATGAACTAGTTGTAGCTGAGTTAAACTATGTCAATTTGCTAACACTACAAACGACAACCAAACTATAAAAAAAAACTTCTTAGGTCTTTTTATATAGTTTCTCCTGCCTTTCTTTCTTCATTTTAAACTGGACTCCCTTCTAGTTTATATGCACGTTACTATTCATGATATTTTCTCTCTAATAGAAATTACACTTCGATTTTTGTGTTGATGGTGGGGAGAGAAGAATACAAACTATTTTTCTGTGTGGTTTTTCTATGCTTGTTGCTGATTGGGATATGTATACACGTCCTTCTCAAATATGAAAAATGCAGGTTTAAGCATCACATTAAACATAGAAAGTTTTAAACTCAAGTCTGAATGTCATTATTTTAGTAATGCTTGTAATGAATTCTACATATATTTTATATGGCAGATAGCAGGAACTGATAAATTCGCGAAAGTGATAGACTTTCTTCGCCGCCAGCTCCACAGGGAGACATTGGTAAACTGTCACTGTGTATTGTATTCTCATCTATTTCTCAAGGTTCTGCATACTCAATTTTTATTTCCTAATTTTGCAGTTTGTGTACGTCAATAGTGCTTTTTCACCAAACCCTGATGAATTGGTAATTGACCTGTTCAATGTAAGAAATCACTCGATCCCTTCTTTTCCACTAATTTTTATATTTTCAATGGGTGTATATCATGCAGATTTCTGATACTTGTGCTACAGTTACTAATATTTATAATATTTGTCTCATGTATATTGTGGAAAAATAGTGGAGGAAAAACTATAGGTTTATGTCTGCCCTGTATTTTTGTGTGATGAAAGTAAATAGATAGTGTTAAAATTTGTTAAGTATTTGTTAGAAGTTGTGTTAATATTTCTGTATCTACCTTTTTGTTTTTGTAAAATGGAACAAAAGGCATTTTCAGCGTTCAGTATGTTTCAACCTTGTAAAAGGGAATGAAAGTAAGGATCATTGTAGAATTCTGATTGTGAAATCCAATATCCATTTTCTTTTCCTATTTCCCAATACGTCCTTATTCTACATGATGAAGAAAGAGGGCAGGTGGTGACATTAAAACTATTTACCGGAATGCATGTCAAACGAAGAGGGTAGAAGAAAATTTTTCAATTGTGTGTGTATTGACATCTTTTTTCTTGTCATGTATATATACGCAAGCGTGTGCTGAAAATTGAAAAAAATAATGCCAAGCATTTCTTTCTTTGTGGGAGTGAATATTGTGCTTTTCTAGGCCATGCCATCCTTTTTCTCCATGAGTACCTTAGCTGTAGCATTCTATTTCACAAGGGTTTAGAAAAAATATTTGAGTAATATGGCAGTAAATATTCTAATCATTATGTAGTTGTTTTGGTATTTCTTTAGATAACTTAACTATACTCTTTATGTATCACATTATGTCATTGAGTTATTTATTTTCTTTCTCTTTTGACCCTCTTTTCTAGAATTTTGGTTTTGATGGCAAACTGGTGGTCAACTACGCTTGCTCCATGGCTTGGGGCTAATCCTGAATGATGGTTGCTGGTTACAACAGTTCCATATTGTGAATACATATGGCTTCCTTTCAGAAAATGGGGACTTGCATATAATCACAGTATACGGTTTCTTTTTATCTAGAAGATCATGAAAGATCAAGTGCACAAAACTAACATGAGACTCTAATTTGGATATTTGATTGAAGTGCTAATCCTTCGTTGTTCATTTTCTATTTGTTATCATGTTCATGTAATTTTATACCTTTATGCATAAGCTGCTATAATCTTGTTTTGATATACTTGTCATCAGTATCTGTAGAAAATAAAAATTAAGTAACTTCTTGGTAAATATTATTCATATTGATGATGGTGTGCTCATAAATTTTGATAATGTTGTGCCTCATTGTGTATAGGCTACATGCAAGCTAGTAATTCATACATGCAATCCAGTCCACTACAGGACATGAATTTGAGTGACAAGCTTTATGAAGTGTCTTTGTTCATGAAGGCCCAGGCCCATTTTGTAATCAATACATTCTGCAGAATTGGAGTCTCCAAGTTCATATATAACACTTTTTTTTAATATATTTAGTTTTACAGTTTATATGTATCCCTGAACTCGAAATTATAACATGTTTGAACCAGCTTTTTATATACTAGAAATTAGTTTCTTCCTAAGTTAAAAGTTAACTTGTATGATTTATACATAAATTAATTTAAATTTATAGAAAATTTATTTTTTATTTTTTACACAAGTTCTTATGGAAAAACATATTAAATTAGGTTTAATCTAATTGTAACTTGTTAAATACTAATTTTTTTCCTCATAACTTCTCTCTTTTAAACATGTATTTATAATCTCAGACTAAGTCTTAGTTTTGAACATTCTTAAATTTTATTTCTCATTTGCAATTTATTTGCATTGAGGGTTTTACTATTGGTGAGGATGTAAAGAGAGGGACTTATAAAACAAGTATTGTATACATTGAAAGGAGACAAAGTTGGTTTAATGAATTGAAGGTAACCGTTGAAGGGAAGCAGATGAAAGTGTAGTAATTCACATGACAACAACAGAAGCTGTTGCGTTTATTGGTTGTTCTTCGGACAAATCTGTGTCTGAGTGTGTGTAGATGACACGAGACGGGTGGTCGTTCCCCATTGTTTGCATGTCCTTCCATAGCAGACCATGACATGATGAATATCTACAACAAAACAAAAACCTTAACTCAAGTTATTTTTTTGTTTGACCTATCTATCTATCTATGTTCTGTTTGAACCATTAGGTCATTTCAAACTTGCTCCTTTCTTCTAAAATTAAATTACCATTAAGCCCCTCACCCTACCATTGCTTTTTCTTTGTGCCTATATACCCCTGCTCTCACTGGTCAAGTCACCCTTTAAATGACCAAAATGTACATGGTAGAGGACAAGTTGAATTTGTTTTGATGGTTCACAGTGAACCTGGACCAATTGCCACCACTGCCCCAATCCCAACCACAGTCTCCATGCAAATGCAAGTAGATGCAGGTTTCCCCTCACGGGTCAGATTCGTCTAAGTGAATTGAATCTTGTATTAAATGATCCATTCAGTTGAAGACAAGCCCTTTTTCATCACAGATAACTATCACACACAATATACGAATACTTTAATCCTTACTTCTCTTGCATCATTATTCATAACGTATTCAAATTGAAATTTTTTTATGTGACTCTATAAATAGTAATGTATTTATAATAAATTATATTTATTAATTACAAGTATTTTCGAAAAATGTTTAACAAATTCTTATCAATTTCTTATTTTAAGGGACACCTTGAAGAAAAGAGAAGGCCTGAGTGAAGAAATATAGAACAGCCATTGGTTTATCAGAGATAAATGTATGAAAAGAGAGGGAAAGAAGAGTAAAAAAAAAAAATCACTCAAAAAGTGAACGGAGATGTACACGTAAATCAGTTATGTTATTCAAAAAATTAGTTTTAAATTTTAAAATAAATTATAGGTAACAAAAATATATTTTTTAATATAATAATAATAAAAATAAATAATAAATAAAATTAATTAATTTTCTACTTATTTATTTTAACTAAACTTGTTTTTACTTAGTCGTGGTATCTTTCTCTTTCATTATTTCCTTATTAAGAGAAAAAAATTATCAACCCTTAACTTATTTTACTATTGTACAAAATATTAATATTACAAAATCAAAAGATAAATTAAAATAATATCAATTTTTATAATTATTTGACACAAAATTATTTTAACATAATTAATAATTTGAAATTTTAGTCTGAAAATATAATAAGATTAAATACTTAAAATAAAACATTTGTTTTTCAATTTTAATATCTAATAGTTTTATTAGGAATACATTTATTAAAAAAAATACATAGTATATAGCAAAATTAATAATATATTAATATAGAGAGAGAATAATAACTATATATCATAATACAGATTTAAATCTTAATTTAGCATCAATTTCTAATAAATTCAACCAAATTGTTATTTAATTATCCACAATTCATTTTTTTATTACTATTAATTTTATTTCAGAAATATTTATAAAATTAAATTATTTGAATAATAATTATATTTAATGATATTTAATTTAAGGAATACTGTTTAATAAAAAATGGTTTATATGGTTAATAAATCAATAAATACATATAATATATAATAAAAAATATTTTTTTGACTTTTTAAAATATTAGTATACTTATAAATAAAATAAAAATATATAAATTAACATTAAAATTTATTTTTATATTATTTTTAACTAATTTTTTATGTAAAATATAAAGATATAATTATAGGATTAGTTATGTGTTTAGTCATAAAATTTAGAGTACGTAATTATATATAATTTTACTTTCATAATTAAAAATATTTTAATACCAAAATTGAAAAAAATGAATGATTTTAGTTAATAAACAAAAAATTCAAAGGGCTAAAATAATTTTTTTAAAACTATGTTCATTGTGTAATTTTAGCGTTTAAAAATCAAAATCGTATTAAATTTAAAATTATTTTCAGTCTTAAATTTCACAATGTTAAAAAATAATAATATTTCTATTTTATGTTAGAGAATGTAGTTCTTATGATCTAATTTTGGTTATGAATAATAAGGTATGATGTAATTAAATTAATTAATTAATAAAAACATTATTTTAATTTAAAATATATTTTTTATATGATCCATTCCCATGACAATATGATTTTGATTTGCATTGAAGCCTTGGGGCAACTTTCATTGTTGATGGATTAAAATTATTCACAGTTCTCTTCCAGCAATGTGATGGTTTAGGGTTTGTCATATTACCATTTCACTAATAATGTGGTCCAATCCACAGATTATAATACAAACTTTTAAATGAAAAATCAAAATAATTAATCCTTATATCAATCAATCAAAAATTTAATACAAATATTGAATTTAATTCATCAAACTAAACTAAAATATAATATGATAAAAAAAATGTGAAAAATAAAGACTCCACAACACACATGCAAGTGTTAATAATAATATTTAATAAAAATAAAATATAATTATTACCAAAACTTTATGTTATCTACCAAGAAAATTAATTTAAACGTTAATCCATAATAATCCCACTGTTTTCGGGAAACCCTAATTCTTCTTTTTCATCGTCAACTCAAATCTCTGCAATTGCTAAACACCTAGTCTACCATCTTGGTCGATGTTTTCAAACGCCCATGAGTTGGCTTCGCGATATGCAGCCTCCTCCTCGGGCGTGTAATCGCTCTCGATGCCAAAGAATTCGCGTGCGAACTCAACAGTCTGGTTCTTGATGGCGTCCGCGATGCCTTTCGAGATCACCTCGAAGAAGCTGTTCATGTTGAGGTAGTTCGCAGCGAGGAGCAGTTCCTTCATCTCGTTGAGACTCAGCTTCTTCACAAAATTCTCATTGAACTCCCTCACCGCCTTATTATTGCAACCCAAAGGGTGACGCCCCGACCAGTACTCGACCATACATTCGACTTCGGCGCTGGTCACGTTGTGCAACGGAATGACGGCGTCGACACCGAGTTCGTCCACGAAGGACTGCACCGTCAACATCTCCTTCACAATTGACGATTTCACCTCCATGGTAATGCCATCGGCGCATTTTAGCTTAATCTTCTCTTCTTCACTAGCGATTGTAAGCTTCTCGAGTTCCTCCGTGGGAAGCTTCTCCATTGATTCATTGGTGGCCTTCAACTTGGGCGTCGTGGATGATTCCGCTTCTTCAGCCATTGCCGTCATGGATGATTCCGCTTCTTCAGCCATTGGTATATACAAAATGGACACAAGAAAGATCTTTTCTTATAGAAATTGAATGGAAAAGAAATTGACAATTTTTCTTTTTGAGGAAGAGCACATTTGAAGGATGAGAAGAAGGGAACACCACCATTTTTCAAGTTAAACTATTTAATTTAGTTATTTAATCTAGTTTAATTTAAAAATTATATATTTATCATTAGTTTTCTCTCTTTCTATCTCTTAATTAAATTAAAGATATTCATCAATGCAGACATTTAATTGTGATGAGAACTTTATATTTAATTAAAAAATATATTTATTATTTCATTTTAAATTAATATTTATGAATTATTTTAAGATAACTTTTTTATTTTCTATTTTAAGAGATTTTAAAGAATAATGTTATTTATATATTTTGTATGAATATACGTTTGCTTGATGAAAAAAAGGTTGGGAGGGTTTTATAAAAAGTGATTATCATTTGTACAAAATTAATCTTTAATAAAGTTGGTAGAGATTTAACTGTTGACAATAATATATACTCATATTAAATATATTAATAAGAGGTAATATGAGTACACATTATTATGTAAACAAGTAATATTTATAAACTTAAAATATAGTTAAATTTAATTATGTAATGAACAAGTATTTATTTTATATTATATTAGTATTTATAAATATATATTTAGTTCTCATTACTTTATATATTCTACTATATTAAATAATATAGTTAAATATTTGATGATAATATTATAATTTATTTTAAACATATATTATTGCATTTTAATATATATAATAAATTACATATATATGTATATTTATTAATATTATAAATTATTTCATATATATTTTTAAAATATATTATAAAAATAAAAAGATATTATATAATATTCGATAATATAATAAATGTTTTAAATTATCTTAAGTATTATATAATTATATTTTATTAGTAGTGTTAATTATAATTTAAATTTATTATATAAATGTGACACGTATTCAGTCCACCGTTGAGATGAGTTGCGTCACAATCCAGTGTTTCGCGGAGTGCGGTGATCTTGCTGCTTTGTCAAATCTTGGTCATTGATGAGGATATTCTAGGATAATCCAGCAGTTACCCTTGACAACAAAAATGCAACTCAGCACAAGGCTCTATCTGATTGCAGCCGTGGCTATTTTGGCATCTCTTCATTTAATTTTAAAATATTATTTTGTGACACTGCTACATGCCGTGGCCACCTCTGCAGAGATCTGAGAAAGAAATGAAAGAGGTGGCACAGAACCCAACACTTTCATTAGAAAACAGACACAGAGCTGAGAATATAAGACGAGAGAGAAGTTTGTCTAGAGTTCTCAAGTCTCAACCCCTTCCCTCCCACCTCAACAATAACAAAAAATAAAACCAAAATCAAAATAATAATAATAATAATATTATTATTATTATTATATATTTTATGTATATATATATATATAGATAAAAACCGAACATACACACTTTAGAAGAGACCCACAAGATATGAATCCCACATGATTATGACTATGATACAGCTTCAAAGGGGGGAAAAAGAAATGGGAAATTTTCGACCTCATCCCAACTTCCCAACCATTACAAACTTTGAAGTTTGAGCTCAAAGTCCAATATTCCAAACTTGCATAGATAGAGAGATACATACATGCTACAAAGGGTTCGGATTTTTGGGAGGAGAGAAAGATCTGTGGGGTGTAAGTTAGTGTAACTCTGTAATAAGGAAGTCTGTGCTCTTTGTGGGGATTCTTTTCTTGAGAAAAGAGGAGGCGGTGTGTTTGTGTGTGAAAAAAAGTGTGTTAATATGAGTAACTGGTTGGGGTTCTCTCTAACTCCGCACTTGAGGATTGACGAAGAATTTGGGAGAGAAAACCAAGAGCGTGGAGGAGGAGGAGGAGGAGGCGGCGGAGGTGGAGGAGGAGGGTACCATCCTCATCCTTCTTCCCATCCTCACTTGTCTGTCATGCCTTTGCGCTCTGATGGCTCTCTGTGTGTTGCTGACTCCTTTAACCACTCTGCTCCTCCTCAAGGTATTGCATGCCATTTATACACCCTTCTAGATTACCTTATTTTGAACGGGTAATCGTCTTTTAATATTTTGAGATTATTTTCAAAAATAAATAGCTGAACTTTCCTGAAACAAACTTTTTATGATTCTCTACCCCCAATGAGTGGTTTTTCGTTATCGAATGGGTAGAGAGTGTTCTGTGTGTTTATTCCCACCCTTTGCATGTTGCCTAAAACGATTTCTTGTGTGCCCTTTCTCTTGATTATTGAATAAAGTTTGATATTTTGCTATGAATCAGTGCTTCCACTGCATGATTTTTCTTATTTATGTGGGTGCTTGTAGAATGGAGATATGACAGTGCAATAGGAGGGGGGAATTCCAATGAAGAAGGTCCAAAGCTTGAGGACTTTTTGGGTTGCTACTCAAACTCCCCCAATAAAGTCTTTTGTCAAGATTCTCAGCATGACCAAAGCCAAAGCCAGAACAATGTTTCCAAAATCAATGTTAATGTGGCACCAAACTTTTGCACCAGTGCAGAGATTGAAACTGGGGATTGCCTCCCAAACCCTTCTTCCTTGCTTCAATCTTTCCATGCATATAATGATAACCCACATGCCCTTATCCCCACCAATGGCATGTACAAGTCCTGGTTGGCACAAAGTCAGTTCTCTGATGTAAAGCCTTCAGTTGAAGCAAATGGGTGTAATTTCCAATCACTGTCCCTGACTATGAGCCCCACTGTGCAAAATGGGGTGGGTGCCATTTCTAGTGTTCAAGTAAGTGAGGACAATAGGAAACGGGCCATTGCAAAATCTCAAGCTAGAGAACCAGTCCCTCGCAAATCTATTGACACTTTTGGGCAGAGAACATCTCAATACCGTGGTGTTACAAGGTAGGACTGATGGCTCTTACTGTTTTTTTTAACTATTACATAGCTTGATATTTGTTTATTTTGATGAATTTCTCTTTTTTCATTTTGGGATTCATGGATCTTGTTAGGCATCGATGGACTGGGAGATATGAGGCCCATTTGTGGGATAACAGTTGCAGAAAGGAAGGGCAAACAAGGAAAGGAAGGCAAGGTGAGAAAAACATGTTTTTTGGTTGTGGTTTTGGCTTTTTGTTGTATTATTTTATTTTACTTTGGTTTATTGTCATTGACCAAGGAAGAGCATTTTCAAGAGCCAAAACAAGTGCTTTAACCTTTTCCATTTTATTCCTTTTTTTTTTTCACTTTCCACTCTTGTTTTGAAAGAGAATATACTAACGGTCTGTTTCATGCACTGGTTGGATTCTTCTCCCTTTTCATGGCTTCTTCAAACCTTCACGCAGTCTACCTTGGTGAGTGACACCCCTTCACACGCATTGGTTGTCTCTCTTTACTCCTTTACCATCTTTGTAAATCTTACCGTTTACTATAACACGGTAACTGGTTGGATACGCTACTATAGATATGAAGCATTGGAAAGTGTGTTTGAGTTCTGAGGATAATTTATCGCTTTTGGCAAATAATTATATCTCTGTATGTATTATTATTAGGTGGTTATGATAAGGAAGAAAAAGCAGCAAGGGCTTATGACTTAGCTGCACTCAAGTATTGGGGTCCAACAACTCACATAAATTTCCCTGTAAGGTTTCTGAAACTTGTACAGTTTTCTCCTTTGCAAAAGTCTTACCTTAGCTAGTCTTGCAACAGTACAAAATAGAAACAAGGGAATTAAAAATTATTGAGAAAAGTCAAATATTTCCTATGTATTTAATTTATGTGGCTTGAACCATTACATAGCAACTGTGATGACTCTACATGTCTACTGCTTCTTAAATGCTCAGTTAAGCACTTATGAGAAGGAACTTGAAGAGATGAAGCACATGACCAGGCAAGAATTTGTCGCCAATTTAAGAAGGTACCATTAAATTTTATGTGATCTTAGTAAATTCTCTCACCCCCCATCCCCCTTACATTCAACATGGAAGGAATTGTCCTTTTTGGTTTCCCTCGGGCAGGAAGAGCAGTGGATTTTCAAGAGGGGCATCTGTGTATAGAGGTGTGACAAGGTATGGACTAAAGTAATGCGCTTTATCATTAATATGAGTAAAGTTTTCCATGAATTATTTTCTGCAATGTTCAGCTTTTGAATTAACGTGCGCAATTATTGGCTAACATTTATCTTTTTCTCCTTGTATCATTTTCAGGCACCATCAACATGGAAGGTGGCAGGCCCGAATAGGAAGGGTTGCAGGAAACAAGGACTTGTATCTTGGTACATTTAGTAAGTTTGTCGACCCTATCTCTCTGTTGCCTTTGTTTTAAGCTTCCGTGTTCCCTTTTTAATAATCATTGCTTACTCCTTTATTCCAGTATGATAATGTAGCATGATTTAATAATGCCTTTTATAATATTACATTACATTGTCACTTTTCATGTGACCATCTTAATCTTTTTCATGCCGTTGGTTATTCTAATTAGAGCCGTCCATGACAATTGTGTAGGCACACAAGAGGAAGCTGCTGAAGCATATGACATAGCAGCAATCAAGTTCAGGGGAACAAGTGCTGTGACCAACTTTGACATAAGTAGGTATGATGTGAAAAGGATCTGCTCAAGCTCCACTCTCATTGCAGGAGATCTTGCACGACGGTCCCCTAAAGAATCAACAGCTCCGGTTGCCACCGATGACATCAATACGAGCAGTTCATCTGTGCCGACTCAGCCACCTCCTATGGCAATAACTGACGGTGAACATTCTGATGAGTTGTCCAACATGATGTGGAATGCCAACAGTGACGAGCAAGCACAGAACGAGAGTGCTAATATCAACAATGTCACTGAATCATCACAGCAGGTTTCACCAAGCAACAACAAGGATGGTTTGAACCCTCAAAGCCCCCCCAAGTGTTCTGTGGGGCTACCCAATGAGTTTGGAGTCAGTGGAGCAGACTATGGACATGGGTACTTCACCCTTGATGGACCAAAATATGATGATGGGAACAATGAAAACGACCACATGAACAGCAACAGGCTTGGAAATTTAGCACTTGTGAATCAAGTTCCCATGTTTGCTTTGTGGAATGAATGAGGGGAAGTTGCGTTGAGATCACAAACATTAGCTTAGGAAAAAAAACTAAGATGATGAGATGGCTAGAATTATTGGATGATTATTGTAGCTTGGTATGGTAACTTGTTTTGTGTTGAAAGAAAGGGGATGTCAGTAGTAGTGATTCCTTGTGTGTTTGTTTGTTGGTAGGTAGGGTACGATACTAACTTGCCAAACATTATCCACTTTGGTTAACGAGAAAAATAGAACAGAATGATGCATAAAATTCAATCATGAGATTCGTACCAAAATCTTGAAATTACTATCCTCCTTGGCTGGTAACTAAATATATTCGTCGAAGATTATTATATCATTTGTTTGTGAAGTTAGCAGCACGGGTACTTTTTCTTTGACTACTACAAGGATATTTTCATGCCTGAATCTTTATAGAAAATTGGTTCACTTTGTCATGCAAATAAAAGATGACAATAAAGTAATGGAGGGTGATGGGTAATGGAAACCGAGACATCCATGTCTTTTGCCATCACGACAAACAAGAAAGACAAAAACGAAGCATTTCCTTACTTGGTATCATCATCACGTTACTTTCAATCTCTTAAGCATTTGCTTAAACAGCCACAAAACAAAAAACAACCAAATCCCTTATGCGGTTTCACATGCACTGTTGTTTCTAAGCGATTTCTTGTCTTAAAGGTAGGATCTTTACATTTTCTTGTATGTTTGTATGGGGTGCATTTGTTGTATGCTTACGTATTACATATATCTAGAGTTAATTAAACTGTGTATTTTTATTTAACTATCAATGTTTGAGAGTGGTTTATTTATAAAAATATATCTAGAGTTGTAAATATGTTAATGGATTGAGAACTAAAGACATTCTTACATTAAGAATTACTAAAATCATGTGCGATTATTTCATATAATAAAAAAATAGGGAAAACAGAAAAAATAGTTTTTATTACACATGCATATGATTTTAAATATCAATGATTAAGTTAATAAAAAGAAAAAAAGCATATATTTTAATTTACTTAACATATATACTTGACGTATACAATAAGGAATTTTCAATGTTTTTTTTTAACGAAGGGTAGTGAAAAATACTTGAATTTAATTTCAAATAGGATTTTGAAGATTTTTTTGAAATTGAAAATACATTGCATAAAATAGTTATTCAAAAGTAATTAATAATTATTTTAATTAAATATATTATACTTATAAAAAAATTCACTTTAACTTAACATTTATATTTATTTATGGATAAATTATTTTCTCATTATAAGTGCTTTTTCATCTTATGTTTTATTACGTTTTTCATACAATATATATTTTTATTAATTTTTTTAACATATTTTAAATTTTTAGCTATTTTAATTAAATTTCATCAGTTAATTAATCTGTGATAAACTACTTCATGACGTTAGACTCTAGAAAACATTATAAATATTGTTGATTAAATATTTTAGTTATCCGTCATTTATGTTTTCAATTACAATTCAATCAATTCGTTTAATTTTATAAATTGTTAATCAGCTATCTATTATATTTTTTTAAAATATAATGTAATTTCTTATAAATATGCAATAAATCAAAATTAATCTAACTAGTTTATTATTATTTAAAAAAAATCAAAAATATATTTTTAAACTTACCCGTAAAAAATATTTTTTATCCTCTTTATTATAAATCAAAATAAAAAGTATATAACGAGTTTGTGTAATGAACAATGAATACATTGTTCACTCTATTATATATAGAAGATATATAAGACATAAGTACCGATAAGACCTAAAATTAAGTAGAAAAAAATAATTAACTTTTTATAAGTTAAAATTAACTCATAGAAATGAATTTATAGAAAATTTCTTAGATATCCTCAGTACTAAACTTTTATTTTTATTTATGAAAACTTAATGTTATTTTTTCTTTGTTTTAAGAAAATGAAGTTCTAAATAATGTAACTAAGCATTCTCTAAACCAAATTAAATACACTCGTCATCAACCCTACAGAATTATTTTCAAAAAGTCTTTAATCAAAATTTATTTTTAAATTTAATTATTTAAAGTTAAGTTGGAAGACACTCATAATTTAAGGATTTTTTTTCCTTTATTTCATTATGGAAATTTTTTTTTTTTGTAAGAAACAGTGGGATATTCTTTGACGAAGTCAAAGAGTGTCACTGAACGAGGACTACGATAAGTATGGTACGGGTGAGCAGTAGAGAATTCCATGCTAAAATACACTGTGGGTAAAGTGCGCTCTTTCTCTCTCTCTCCCAAAAGGTTAGACTCCCTTTGACTGAAGAGAAAGGGAATGAATGAATGAACCAAAAGGAATGGGGTGCTGCCTTAAATTGCGTGCCTCATTTTTTTTTATTCTCCCTTTTATTTTTTTTTATTTTTTATTATTCTTATATTTTTCAACTAAATAAAATAATTATACAATAAAAATACTTCTATTTATGATGTCCATAGAACATGTTTTTAAAGTAATTGGAAGTATTTAAAAATATTAACTAAATCATAAAAATACACTTAAATATTAGTTAGTAATTTTTTATTGAATTCAAAAATTATGCACTAACAAGGTAATACAATTTTATAGTTTATAATATAATTATTTTATATAAGGTTTTGTAAAAAAAAAACTTTAAATTCACTTTTCATCCCTACAAATTTCTGAATACTTAATTTTAATTCTTATATAGTTTTAATTATAAATTTGTCAATCTTTTAAAATTAGAAAAAATATTTTATTATTAATATATCATTTAATTAAAAAATTAACATATATGAAATTTAATTGTCAAATATATCAAATATCTTACATAAATAC